ACTACCACAACCACCACAACACCACCAACCACTACAACACCCACCACAACACCACCAATTACCACAACACTACCACAACACCAGCCACCACAACACCCACCACATTCTGCACTTATTTTCCAAACTGCAGTAATAACTACACGTCATCTGCACCACGTCGCTACAAATTATGCCTTGGACGACACCTGCAGCATAGATGGTTCCGATGTGTACACACGCACACACGCACACGCGCGCACGCAAGAGAGTGAACGGAGATAGAGAAGAGACACTTAACTACAAACCAACATCACTGACAAGCTGTTTGTTTGTTGTTTGTTTTAGATTCAGCTACTCGGAACAAAAGTTCCAAGTAGCACAGGCTATGGTGAGCCCATGGTTTACTGATCACCTGCAAAGTACCTGAAAGAATAATCAGGTTTAGATTAGTTACACAGGGTAATCATGCCTAACAAGCCTTCTGAAGTTCTATGATAACAAGAATAAGGCAGGACAGGGAAGGATGGGTAGATTGCATATTTCTGGACTGCCCAAAAAGCTTTTGACACAGTACCGCATAAGAGATTACTACACAAACTTCAGAGACAGGCGGAAGCAAGCGGAGAAGCCCTGAAATGGGTAAGGACTCTCCTAACAGGCAGGAGCCAGAGAGTAACATTAATTTGTTTATATATTTATTTTTTATTTATATATACAAGAGTTCTTATAGTCTTGTACGGCCACTAGCAAGCATAGCGTTTCGGGCAAGTCCTTAATCCTAATTTTCCCTGGAATACGACCCGCCAAATCATTTAAGAACCAGGTATCAATTTTACTGTTGGGTTAAATAGTGGCAACAGTTAACGATTTGCGCCCAGTCAATCCTCCGCAGCCAGGATACGAACCCAGGATAATGCGCTTGCGAAACGTCAAGCGAGTGTCCTACCACTACGCCATGGGGACCACCAAGTGCCCGTCCCCAAGTTAAAGGGGGAAAAGTGGGACAGGCGAACAGTAACATATGGAGTACCTCAAGGATCGGCACTGGGACCACTTACATTTTTGATATACGTAAAGGACCTGTCTTTATTTAGTTACATCTTATATGTCTATGTTTTTAGACGACGCAAAATTAGTGAGACGAGTTCTGACGGATGAGGATTGTTGAATCCTCCAAGAGGACTTGAACAAGTTGCAGAGATGGTCGGAAAAATGACTACTAGAGCTCAACACAGGCAAGTGTAAAGTGATGGAACAGGCAACAAGAAACAGGAGGCCAATGTGACAGTACACGATGAAGGGAAACTACCAACCTGTAACGATTCGAGAAAGAGACCAGGGAGTGGACGAAGCACCAAACCTAACTGCCGAGGCACATATAAGTAGGATAGTCAGCAGCGTACTCTACGCTTGCAAAAGTTAGAACATCGTTCAAGTTCACAATCGCCTTGAGAATGGTCCAGGATGGACCGAAACGTCGTCGTCCCTTCACCTTCTAGTGTGTGGTCTAGTCAACTTAGAACATCGTTTAGGAACCTAACTAATGAAGCATGTAGAACGCTTAACATCGCCTTCTTGAGACCAGTCTTAGAGTATGCCGCGCCAGCATGGAGTCCCCACCTAAGAAACACATAAGGAAACTGGAAAACGTTCAGAAGTTTGCGACGAGGTTCGTCCCAGATTTACGAGGGATGGGGTGTGAAGAGCGCCTGAAGGAACTGACACTAGAAAAAAGAGGGGAGAGGAGGGGATATGATAGACACGTATAAAATACTCAGGGGAATTGACAGAGTGGAAATAGACGAAATGATCACACGGAATACTAACAGATCAAGGGGACATGGGTGGAAGGTAGAAACTCAGATGAGTCACAGAGAAGTTAGGACGTTTTCTTTTAGCGTGAGAGAAGTGGACAAATGGAATGCACTTAAGGAGCAGGTTGTGGAAGCCAACTCTATTCATAATTTTAAAACTAGGTATGATAGGGAAGAAGGACAGGAGTCATTGCTGTAGACAACCGATGGCTCGAAAGGCGGGATCCAAGAGTCAATGCTCGATCCTGCATACACAAATAGGTGAGTATACACACACACACACGCACACACACACACACACACACACACACACACACACACACACACACACACACACACACACACACACACACACACACACACACACACACACACACACACACACAGAGGGGGCCCTGATAGCTGAGTGGACAGCGCTCTGAACTCGTATTCCAAGGGCCCGGGTTCGATCCCGGGTGATGGCAGAAACAAAATGGGCAGAGTTTTTTTCACCCTGTTACCTAGCAATAAATGGGTACCTGGGAGTTAGACAGCTGTTATGGGCTGCTTCCTGTATTCGCCTAGTTGTGCTTGCGGGGGTTGAGCTCTGCTCTTTCGGCCCGTCTCTTAACGGTCAATCAACTGGTGTACAGGTTCCTGAGCCTATTAGGCTCTATCATATCTACACTTGAAGCTGTGTATGGAATCAGCCTCCACCACCTAATGCATTCCACTTGTCTACTACTCTGACACGGAAAAAATTATTTCTAACGTCTCTATGGCTCATTTGGGCACTCAGTTTCCACCTGTGTCCCCTAGTGCGTGTGCCCCTTGTGTTAAAAAGTCTGTCTTTATCTACCCTATCAATTCCTCTGAGAATCTTGTACGTGGTGATCATGTCCCCTCTAACTCTTTTGTCTCCCAGTGACGTGAGGTTTAATTCCCGTAGTCTCTCCTCGTAGCTCATACCCCTCAGTTCGGGTACTAGTCTGGTGGCAAAACTTTGAACCTTTTCCAGTTTAGTCTGATGTTTGACTAGATATGGACTCCATGCTGGAGCCGCATACTCCAGGATTGGTCTGACATATGTGGTATATAATGTTCTGAAAGATTTCTTACACAAGTTTCTAAAGGCCATTCCTATGTTAGTCAACCTGGCATATGCCGCTGATGTTATCCTCTTGATAACCCTTGATAACGCTGTGTTTACGAGTTGTTTAGTAGTTGTGTTTTGCGGGGGTTGAGCTTTGCTCTTTCGGCCCGCCTCTCAACTGTCAATCAACTGTTTACTAACTACTTTTTTTTTCCACACCACACACACACACCCCAGGAAGCAGCCCGTGACAGCTGACTAACTCCCAGGTACCTATTTACTGCTAGGTAACAGGGGCACTTAGGGTGAAAGAAACTTTGCCCATTTGTTTCTGCCTCGTGCGGGAATCGAACCCGCGCCACAGAATTACGAGTCCTACGCGCTATCCACCAGGCTACGAGGCCCTGTGTGTGTGTGTGCGTGTGTGTGTGTGTGTGTGTGTGTGTGTGTGTGTGTGTGTGTGTGTGTGTGTGTGTGTGTGTGTGTGTGTGTGTGTGTGTGTGTGTGTGTGTGTGTGTGGAAAAAATTAGTTAGTTAGTAGTTAGTAACAGTTAATTGATTGACAGTTGAGAGGCAGGCCGCAAGAGCAGAGCTGAACCCTCGAAAGCTCAACTAGGTGAATACAACTAGGTGAATGCACACACACAGGTGCTCCAGTGGATAAGGGAGTATCTAAGCAACAGGAAACAGCGAGTAACTGTGAAGGGGGGAAAACATCAGATTGGCGAGATTTCACCAGCGGAGTCCCACAGGGCTCAGTACTTGGACCCATTCTGTTTCTAATATATGTAAACGATCTTCCAGAGGGTATAGACTCATTCCTCTCAATGTTTACTGGCGATGCAAAAATTATGAGAATAATCCGTCTCCGTGGTGTAGTGGTAAGAACAGTCTCCGTGGTATAGTGGTAAGACACTCGCCTGGCGTTCCGCGAGCGCTATGTCATGGGTTCGTATCCTGGCCGGGAGGATTTACTGGGCGCAATTCCTTAACTGTAGCCTCTGTTTAACGCAACAGTAAAATGTGTACTTGGATGAAAAAACGATTCTTCGCGGCGGGGATCGTATTCCAGGGACCTGCCCGAAACGCTACGCGTACTAGTGGCTGTACAAGAATGTAACAACTCTTGTATATATCTCAAAAAAAAATAAAAAAAATAAAGACAGATGAAGATAGACAGAGACTACGGGACGACCTGGACAAACTGGAGGAATGGTCTAGAAAATGGCTACTAAACTTCAACTCGGGAAAGTGTAAAGTAATGAAATTAGGCGAAAGGAGCAGGAGGCTGAACACAAGGTACCATCTGGGAGGTGAAATCTGCAAGAGTCAAACAGAGAGAAAGATTTGGGGGTTGATATCACACCGAACCTGTCCCCAGAGGCCCACATAAAAAAGACATCATCAGCGACATATGCTAGACTGACCAACATAAGAACTGCCTTATGCACCAGTTATGTAAGATCAATCCTGGAGTATGCAGCTCCAGCCTGGAGTCCAGACCCGGTTAAACACAAGACAGAGTTAGAGAAGATTCAGAGGTATGCCACCAGAATCGTAGAACTGAGAGGTATGAGCTTCGAGGAAAGGCTAAGGGAACTGAACCTCACGTCCATGGAAAACAGAAGAGTAAGGGGAGACATGATAACGACCTACAAAATTCTCAGGGAAATTGACAGGGTAGACAAAAGCAAACTTTTTAGCACGGGTGGAACATGAACAAGGGGACACAGGTGGAAACTTAGTACTCAAATGAGCCACAGAGATATTAGAAAGAATTTTTTCAGTGTCAGAGTAGTTAACAAATGGAATGCATTAGGAAGTAATGTGGTGGAGGCTGACTCCATACACAGTTTCAAATGTAGATATGATAGAGCCTAATAGGTTCAGCAATCTGTACATCAGTTGATTGACGGTTGAGATGCGGGACCAAAGAGCCAGAGCTCAACCCCCGCAAGCCCAACTAGGTGAGTACACACACACACACACACACACACACACACACACACACACACACACACACACACACACACACACACACACACACACACACACACACACACACACGTACACAGACCGTGTGAGCACGGAGAGCAGGTGCGAGCCGTCCCCACTTAACACTGAAGGTTTCACTCAATACCCCGAGACAGAGAGGGCCAGAGGCAGGGAGGCTGCCGCTCTTGGGAGCAGGTTAGCGCTCGCCCCGGCCCCACAGGCCCGCGTGAAGGAGCACGCGCCTCGTTCACACTGTAGAAGCCAACACAAGTCAAAATACCGTTGAAGGCAACAGATGGAAACACTGAGTGTTCCCGAAATGAAAAGTGCATTGTGTGTACACTGTAGGACTTTGGTGGATAGTGCATGGCTCTATTGAACATTTCAGGACCTTGGTGATTAATATAGAGCTACGGTGAACAGTGCAGGGCTCTTTTTGAGCATTGCTTATATATCTATGTACGTTTAGATAGGGATGTCCGGTGCACAATACTGGTATACGCTGGGTGGTGATGACTCGTGCACAATACTAGTGTACGCTGGGTGGTGATGACTCGTGCACAATACTGGTGTACACTGGGTGGTGATGACTCGTGCACAATACTAGTGTACACTGGGTGGTGATGACTTGTGCACAATACTGGTGTACACTGGGTGGTGATGACTCGTGCACAATACTGGTGTACACTGGGTGGTGATGACTCGTGCACAATACTAGTGTACACTGAGTGGTGATGACTTGTGCACAATACTGGTGTACACTGGGTGGTGATGACTTGTGCACAATACTAGTGTACACTGGGTGGTGATGACTTGTGCACAATACTAGTGTACGCTGGGTGGTGATGACTCGTGCACAATACTAGTGTACACTGGGTGGTGATGACTTGTGCACAATACTAGTGTACACTGGGTGGTGATGACTTGTGCACAATACTAGTGTACACTGGGTGGTGATGACTTGTGCACAATACTAGTGTACGCTGGGTGGTGATGACTTGTGCACAATACTAGTGTACACTGGGTGGTGATGACTTGTGCACAATACTAGTGTACACTGGGTGGTGATGACTTGTGCACAATACTAGTGTACACTGGGTGGTGATGACTTGTGCACAATACTAGTGTACACTGGGTGGTGATGACTTGTGCACAATACTAGTGTACGCTGGGTGGTGATGACTTGTGCACAATACTAGTGTACACTGGGTGGTGATGACTTGTGCACAATACTAGTGTACGCTGGGTGGTGATGACTCGTGCACAATACTAGTGTACACTGGGTGGTGATGACTTGTGCACAATACTGGTGTACACTGGGTGGTGATGACTTGTGCACAATACTAGTGTACACTGGGTGGTGATGACTTGTGCACAATACTAGTGTACACTGGGTGGTGATGACTTGTGCACAATACTAGTGTACACTGGGTGGTGATGACTTGTGCACAATACTAGTGTACGCTGGGTGGTGATGACTTGTGCACAATACTAGTGTACACTGGGTGGTGATGACTTGTGCACAATACTAGTGTACACTGGGTGGTGATGACTTGTGCACAATACTAGTGTACACTGGGTGGTGATGACTTGTGCACAATACTAGTGTACACTGGGTGGTGATGACTTGTGCACAATACTAGTGTACGCTGGGTGGTGATGACTTGTGCACAATACTAGTGTACACTGGGTGGTGATGACCTGTGCACAATACTAGTGTACGCTGGGTGGTGATGACTTGTGCACAATACTGGTGTACGCTGGGTGGTGATGACTTGTGCACAATATTAGTGTACGCTGGGTGGTGATGACCTGTGCACAATACTAGTGTACACTGTGGGTAATGATGACCTGTGCTCAATACTAGTGTACGCTGGGTGGTGATGACCTGAGCTCAGTACTAGTGTACACTGTGGGTAATGATGACCTGTGCTCAATACACCTCGCTCGAGTCACTGAGCATTGCTCAGTGTCTCGAGTGACCCTATTTTACTGACGCATCAGAAATTTATTACTGATCGGTTTGAGTAAATTTATTATTAGTTGGAGCAAACGATAGTTTACAGGTTGAGAAAAAACTTAATTTCCCATTGGAGCAATAACAATGACTGTGTCAAATTATATATATTATACAATTAGGATGATGTGAGTATTTAAAGGAGAAATAATATAAACTAATCATGCCACGAAATTAAGGAAATATTCACTCCCTCAGCGTTTTACATCAAACAGATTTTGGGGTTAGCATAGATTAACCTCAAGAAAAATTTACAAGTGGGCCCTTTGTGTATATAACATACCCCTAGATGCTCTCCGGAACATTTTACTGGAATCTCTGTACCTAGTAGTTTTTAGTTTAACATTGTTGGGTTTAACAACTAGAAACACATTTTAGTCGTATCCTAGGGAGGTTCCCGTTTTCCTTGGTCGCAGAGTTACAGTGAAGGCCATGACAGGACGCTGCCCTCACAGTATCACCGTCAATGATAGTCTTACACCTACAGATTGTGCATTGACCATTAAGTGTGTGACTAGTGAGGGCCGCCCTTAACTATACTCGGGTCTCTGGGCACTAGTGAGGGCCGCCCTTAACTATACTCGGGTCTCTGGTCACTACTAAGGGCCGCCCTTATCTATACTCGGGTCTCTGGTCCCTACTAAGGGACGCCCTTAACTATACTCGGGTCTCTGGTCACTAGTGAGGGCTGCCCTTATCTATACACGGGTCTCTGGTCACTACTAAGGGCCGCCCTTATCTATACTCGGGTCTCTGGTCCCTACTAAGGGCCGCCCTTAACTATACTCGGGTCTCTGGTCACTACTAAGGGCCGCCCTTATCTATACTCGGGTCTCTGGTCACTATTAAGGGCCGCCCTTAACTATACACGGGTCTCTGGTCACTAGTGAGGGCCGCCCAAAGCAATCTACGCAAGCAAAACTATGGGTATGGGATTATGGGCGTTTCCACGGCTCTCCATCAGGTCTAAGTTCTTTCTCATTTACAGATAAATAATTCCGGAAGTTTCAGATACGCACCCAAGACGGAAGACAAACTTCAAAAGGAGATCAGCATCATCAACACTATTTTAATATGAAACGTAAGATGTTTTATTTTCCTTTGTAATTAAAGCAGTGCCTGTTCACACGTAGCCTAAATTCCAAAATTGCAATACCATAATTATGTATTCTCAAACCGATATTATTTAATAATAATATTATTGCCTTCTATACGTGTTTTTGTAATGTATATATATATATATATATATATATATATATATATATATATATATATATATATATATATATATATATATATATATATATATATATATATATATATATATTATTAAATATGACCGAAAAAGTAAGATTAATAATTCTAACACGAATTTTCTCAATCTTTCGTACATTACGCTTCACTGTTGGAGGTAAATCAAAAATCACTTCTCCAAAATTCATTTTTACTTCTAGTCTAGACTAGAAGACTAGAAGTAAAAATGAATTAATGAGAAGTGATTTTTGATTTACCTCCAACAGTGAAGCGTAATGTACGAAAGATTGAGAAAATTCGTGTTAGAATTATTAATCTTACTTTTTCGGTCATATTTAATAATATATGTCTACAGGAAAGACTGCTACCAAAATATACTAATATATATATATATATATATATATATATATATATATATATATATATATATATATATATATATATATATATATACAACCCGTCCTTGCAAATTCGTATAGTCAATATTGACTTATTAGTTACGTGCATAGGTGACATACTAAACATAATAGTTTCCCTTGAAAAGCTTCGTAGAAAACACCGACCTTACCTAACCTACTTAGTATGTTAAAATAAGCATCTTATAGCTTCGTAATTACAATTGTTACTTAACCTATTATAGGTATAGGTTAGGTAATAATTGTAATTACGAAGCAATAAGATGCTTATCTTAACATACTAAGTAGGTTAGGTAAGGTCGGTGTTTTCTATGAATCTTTTCAATGGAAACTATTATGTTAAGTATGTCACCTATGCACATATTTAATAAGTCAATATTGACTATACGAATTTGCGAGGACGGGTTGATATATATGTATAACATTATATTTATTTTGAGAAGTATATTTATATATATATATATACACACACACACACACACACACTTGGGCAGCAGGTGTTCGTTTGAGCATATTTGGTTATATATGACCGCGTTGCTGTCGTTATTCATCTTATAGTTATAGGCTTTCCATGCTTCTAACTATTTTCTTACTCTCGGGATTAATTAAGAAGAACAATCAAGTTACCGGAATTCATGGCAAAGAAACTCTAATGATTATCGAAAGGTATATTTTCTACAACGTTTCGTTCCACTTTGGAACATCATCATGTAATGAATGAATATACAAGGTGCAAATTTATCTTCAAGTTCAAGTTCAAGTATGTTATTGAGATAAGCAATAAATACATCTCAAAGGGATAGAGTAGCTTAGGCTATTTCTGCCCCCCCTGTTTTTTTTTATCTTAAATACACGCGTGAACGATGTAGAGTTGTATGTTTTAAGTAAAGTAATCACACACAGATGAAGAAATAGGGAAATAATTGAATTGAAATAAGTTTATTTAGATATAAATACACACAAAGGGATGAGATAGCTCAAGCTATTTTCACCCCGTTCAATACAACGAGATCATATATATATATATATATATATATATATATATATATATATATATATATATATATATATATATATATATATATATATATATATATATATATATATATATATATATATATATATATATATAAATCGAACATTCGGTGTGATAAACATATACATTTCTTCCTTCACACATGCAGTATGTTACCAGACGTACACACAAATACTGTTATGACTAGGTGCACAGATACTTAGGGGAAATAATGGGGGATTAATGCCACTCAAGCAATGGATATTAGGCTGTGGGCGGGGTCTTTGACTTCGCTGTACGACCCTTAGTCATGGTGTTACTCTTTAGCCATGGTGTTACTCTTAGCCATGGTGTTACTCTTTAGCCATGGTGTTACTCTTTAGCCATGGTGTTACTCTTAGCCATGGTGTTACTCTTAGCCATGGTGTTACTCTTTAGCCATGGTGTTACTCTTAGCCATGGTGTTACTCTTTAGCCATGGTGTTACTCTTAGCCATGGTGTTACTCTTAGCCATGGTGTTACTCTTTAGCCATAGTGTTACTCTTTAGCCATGGTGTTACTCTTTAGCCATGGTGTTACTCTTTAGCCATGGTGTTACTCTTAGTCATGGTGTTACTCTAAGCCATGGTGTTACTCTTTAGCCATGGTGTTACTCTTTAGCCATGGTGTTACTCTTAGCCATGGTGTTACTCTTTAGCCATGGTGTTACTCTTAGCCATGGTGTTACTCTTAGTCATGGTGTTACTCTTAGTCATGGTGTTACTCTTAGTCATGGTGTTACTCTAAGCCATGGTGTTACTCTTTAGCCATGGTGTTACTCTTTAGCCATGGTGTTACTCTTAGCCATGGTGTTACTCTTTAGCCATGGTGTTACTCTTAGCCATGGTGTTACTCTTAGCCATGGTGTTACTCTTTAGCCATGGTGTTACTCTTAGTCATGGTGTTACTCTTAGCCATGGTGTTACTCTTTTGGTTGCCTCAGATGACATATCGTGTGAAATAGAAGAGCTTCTCGAGCATCTCCTTCTCAAGGACAAGGCTGTCTTTACATCGGGAGGGCGAAGATATGTATCTTCAAATACACAAGGATATCATAACTAGGTGGTCTAACTGTACGTGGATTTGAAAAGATCCCAAGTTAGATAACCTTTAACATATCGTGGTCCCTGGATTATGACAAGTGTCTGGGGTTACCTAAGACACTGATTTGATCCCCGGTCCTGCTCTAAAGATTTCCTCATTCCTTTCCAATTTCTCATTCCAAATCCTTATCCTGTTCTTTTTCAAGTGCTATATAGTCGTAGTGGCTTGACACTTTCTCCTGATAGTTTCCTTCCTTTTGTGTTGTCGTAAGTTCGAATGTCCAATGTCTCAGCGGCCTGTCTCTTGAACAGTTTCATAAACAACCTTTTACATTCAACCTCACTCATGTTCCACCACTCTAAAATACACGTGAACTTGTGTTTCTGCCTCACCAAGTGCTCCCACAATACTCGAAAATGATCACTGACAACACGACTGTGTAGGAGACCGTAATTTAACTTTCACGACCCTTTCCCCCACTTAAACAAATCAATAACCTTAATTTTTCACTACAATCAAGCAATGATTCGGAATGCTAACCGGAACAGTACCGCAAGAGCTAATCTGATCATGTAATTTATGCAGATGTATTCTGTCTAATCTTGAGCCATAATTGTGGCCATTATACGTATATTGAAGAATTCCACCGTTAATGTTAGTCGCATCCTGCAGACCAATACAATGTAGAGTCTTGACTTACGCCGGACACACGTGTTCAACTGAGTGATACAATCCTACACAGAAGTAATACAGTTCAAGTCACCACCAAAAATATTCCGTGTATCTTACTTACCTTATAGCCAGTAACAATATTTGTGTAGTGAACAATTCCTTCGCCTCCTGCGTCCTCAGGGTTCCAGAGGGGGCATATACATTTAGGAAAGGGATTATAATGTCAAAAAACTAAATTTTTCCTTGTAGTTCATTACTCTGATCATCCATATTAAGAACTTAAATGTTGGCTTATTGTGCATTCAATATTATCGCAACCCTATCAGCAGCGTTGTATAATTTGATGATGATTTCAAAATAATCCTGAAGTACGTCAAGTTTGGTAACACATTTTATAATACATTCCTGCAGAAATAGCGCACCCAACTTATGATAGTTAACCAACGAGAGAAGTTACAACTGATTGTTTTGACAATTAGGCTGACTGGCGACCTGGTCGCTGTGGGGTGAGGACGTGTCACTTGTTCTCTCAGTTGGCATTGGCTTAGCCTCGCGTGCAGTTCTCCAAGGTGTTGCCGGTGGGGGGATGTGCACTGCTGCCCTTAAGTGATGAGGAAGGGGGGTCCTTGCCCCCCGTCTTGCGGTCTAGGACAATTGGACTGGAATATTCTGGCATTGCTGACTACCCTGTAGTGGACACCACCATGTTTGATGTGTAGGGCATTGACATTGGTGACGTCTGTGGCGTCCAGCTGATTATGAGGCATTGGGCAGTAATTAAGTTGTGTACGGAGGAGGCCTATTGGTGCTTTCTGCGTCGCTTTGACGGCCGCACATTCCTATCGCCGGAGCTGTGGTTGTTGCGAACCGCAGTGGCTCCGCTACATACGTCAGTATCCATGGTGACCCTATCGAGTTCTCTGAGTTGTTGCTCCGGAGCTTCTTCGGGCAGTACGGACGGGTGGTGTCTGTCCGGATGAATACCATCTCTGGTAGACTGCGAGGCATTCAGAATGACATCCGGACGCTGGAGATGCGGCTCAAGTGTGACATTCCTTCGTCAGTGAAGTTGATGGATACTATCCGCTTGTGTACTATGCCCGGCAGCCGCGGACCTGCTTCCGTTGCGGGTTGTCAGGGCATCAGGCTGTGGAGTGCAGTGCAGATGTCGTGGCTCAAGTGAGCCTCTTTTGCGACGAAGATTTCCCCCGTTGGTTGCTCCTGATGCTTCTGAGGTTTCCGTTGACTGGGGATGTTGGGGTGGCGGTGGATGCTGGGCCTCTGCAGCCGCCTGTCGTTGGAGACGCGACCGGTTGTGGCTGTGTGGCTGTACCATTGTCGTCTGTGCTCTGAGAATGTTGTGTGTGTGTGGTCCAGGCGTGGTTGTGGTGTAGAGTGTGGACCCTCCCCTGTTCTCACCCCTTCCCCTGCGGCGTTTGTGAATGGTTCTCCTGCGGCTCTGGACTCTCGTGGCGCACTTCCAGGTGTTGGGGCCGTATGTGTGTGGACCCTGTCACGCCGGTGAATTTGCGACCTTTTGTTATACATGGACCTGTGCCTCCTATAGTCACTGCTACTGTGATTTTGCGTGGCCGTGAGGTACGTTCACGGGACCCCCTTCCTTGTGCCTCCGGTATGTCGGCCATCGTCGAGGTGGAGAGTTCTGATATGTGGCCGGACCCGAAGCGCTCCAGGCGTTCGTCGGTTACTCCTCTCCCTGGGAATCCCGTCTGAGCGAACGTGGAGGAGTATGCGAGTGCTGTCTTCAGTCGAAGGGGAGTGAGTAGGAGCCTGCAGCTCCTGTTGTCTGATGGTGAGTCGGCAGTGGTGATGGCAGATATCCGCGCTGTGGAGGCGGATGCTGGTGTTGGGGTGTCCGCGCCGGCTCCTGTGTTTCCTCCTTGCGCCTCCTGCTGAGGGCTCCCTGGAGTGGGGGGTTGTTGCCCCTACGGAGACCGTGGATGCGGGGGAAGGACTTGATGCTGGTCCTTAGGAAATATGTTGGCTCGCAGGCTGTGCAGCCGCGGGGTAGGCGCAGGGTGGCCAGGGACTCTTCTTCGGAACTTATGCGTCGCCCCTATTGCCGGGGGGACCTTTCGCTCTCTCCGGAAGTGTGGGCTATATGGAAGGGATATCGTCGGCAGTTTCCTCGGAAGGAATTTCCTCAAAAATAGCATCCTGACGACCCGGTATCTGATTTGGAGTGATTTTGTTCTGTTTTATGTGCTAATGTTGTGGTTTAGGTGTGTGTTATGTTCTGTAGCTGAAGTCACGTTTTTTGTTTCGTAGTGGTACTTTGGTGCCTTCTTTTATTGTATTTGTTGTATGCCTTTGGCATGTAAATTTAATAAAACATAACAAATTAAACTCATTAACGTTGAGGGTTGCACAAATCAAAGTATTAACAATACTCTGGTCAATAGTATAAACCTTGGTTAATACTATAAAAGAGTATTAATAGTATAAAACCATAGTATCACTGCTCTAGTGATACTGGTCTGTAGTTCAGTGGCTCTTGTTTTGCTCTTTTCTAATATATAGACACTACGTTAACTGTTTTCCTTCCATGAGTAATGGTTTTCCTACAGCTTGTGAGATGTAGTAAGGTGTTCCCTACAGTGTGTGAGATGTAGCCGGTAGATGTAACCCTACATTGTCAGATGTGTGAGGTGTAGTGTGATGTTCTACAGTGTGGGAGGTGGGGGGGGGGCGTCCGTGGAGTGGAGTGCATATGTGATACTCTAAAACTGTTTACGAAAACTAGTGAGACAAAGCATGGCGTGACTTACTATGAAGCAGTCTTCCCTCTAACATTTATGACAAAAACTGCAAAATTGCAGTTTCCTTCCCTCTCACCAGCCCCCCCCCCCCTTTCTCCCTTTTCGAAATATTTTTATGTATAACAAAAATTCCATCCCCCCTCCAGTGCCTGGACGGTATAGTGTGAAGGTGGCGTGGCTGTTGGTGCTGGGGTCGGCGGGGTTGTACATCCTCTACGTCTCCTCCTTCACCTCTGCCACCTACCTGCTTCCCGTTCGCCTCTCTTACTCGGAGCCGCCTGGTGACCAAGACGGAGGCCAGGGCGAGGCAGAGACCACGACCCGTATTGAGGATCAGGTCAGCAGTGCTTCAGGGGCCAGTGTGGACCAGAACGTCATCAGCCGTCAAGCCTCGACACATCTCACTAGTACACGTCTTATTGACCAGGTGAGCTGTGAGTGGTCAGTGAAGGTTAGTGAGTTATGTCTGGCAACCGGTGAGAGATAGGAAGAGTGTGAGTAAGATGTTGGAGCCACTTACATTATGATACAATGAGAAACATTGTAACATATGGGTAAATATATTATTGGTTGTTTATTTAGATTCTATATTGTTTGTTAAAGGCGATGGGATTTACTGAATGTTTTATATGCATGGCATAAAGTTCAGATTTAAGTAAGGAGTATTGATAAAATATATTACATCTCAAAGACATAGAGCAACTGAACCCATTACCTTTTCAATTGTTATTAGTAGACCAAGAGGCTCACAAATTACCATAAAAAGTACATACATACCATCAACGTCCCTATCATAGCAATTATATCAAAATAAGTTTATTAGTTCTTGTTCAGTGACTTATTACTGCGAGTGGGGAAAATGGAATTGGTTCATGCTACGGCGTCTGTATAGGCGCTTTAATTCACGTCTGGATTTGGTTAATACGTCAGCTGATGTGTGGTTAGTGCTTCCATTTGACAGAGGAGCCTGGCAACCAAGTGGTAATGAGAGGCAAATTCCCCACTGTGTCCGTGCTCATACAATCATGATTGATTGCGTTTTCTATATTATGCACCCCATACCCATCTTGTGGGCGGTGGTGGAAAGGGTTCCAGAGGCACATAATCGGTTCAGGAACTGAACCCCACTCATGACAAAAGCAAGGAGGTTGGGGTGGATTTTGAGCCCCTGACTCTTGGCCCTGAAACTTTTAAGATCAGGTTATATGACTACTGAATGGTACTAGTTATTATTTAAATATTAGTTATGATAATAAGGTCTTACTAACTTTGTGTTGATAGTAAACAATACCATTATGGCAGGAACGTTCGACATTCATCCCAATGGAGCCTGACACGTCACCGGTGAGACAGCCTGCAAATATTCCCACACGGTTCCTGATTGAGGAGGCAGACTACTGCGAGAAGCGGCCCGGCCTACAAGTCATCGCCTATGTGCACTCCGCCATTACTCGTGTTGGACACAGGAGGGATGTCCGCGCCACCTGGGCCAACGCCTCCAACTATGACCTGGGCGACATCAGCGTCAAGGTCGGTGCTGTCTTCATGGTGGGACGAGCCAAAAATGAAATAGAGCGACAGATTGTTCAGGAAGAAAGCCAACGCTACCACGATATTGTCCAGGTGATGCAAGCGCAAGATATTACTCTTGATTTACGTCTTTTTGGTAGTATGTTTCACATGCCTATCACGAGATAAAATTATCACGTATATGTTATATCAAATCGCCACCTGTTCTTCCCATTTCTAGAGTGGATAAGTTCTGCTTATTCTTATTTCTATTCTGAACATCTATAAATTTACCAATATCATTCTTCAAATTAGGAAACCAAAACTATAAACAATATTTCTCCCCGCGTGTTAATCTGTCGTAAGGAACATTAGTTATCCACCATCGGGCGATTAGCCTCAAGGTTTTCCGTTTTCTGTCACGAAGGCGCCTGTTCACATCCTTCACTAATGCCGGATCCTAAATCAACAACAATAATCGCTTGTTTGGTGTTTGGTGTTTAGGTTCTATTTAAACAGTCTCCGTGGTGTAGTGGTAAGACACTCGCCTGGCGTTCCGCGAGCGCTATGTCATGGGTTCGTATCCTGGCCGGGGAGGATTTACTGGGCGCAATTCCTTAACTGTAGCCTCTGTTTAACGCAACAGTAAAATGTGTACTTGGATGAAAAAACGATTCTTCGCGGCAGGGGATCGTATTCCAGGAACCATAGGATTAAGGACTTGCCCGAAACGCTACGCGTACTAGTGGCTGTACAAGAATGTAACAACTCTTGTATATATCTCAAAAAAAAAAAAAAAAAAAAAAAAATTGCAATTATTTGTACGTGGGTGAAGCATTTCAGCAAGTTTTCAGGAAATGTTCATTCCATGCAGCAACTGACCTCAAAAACATTCATCAATTTTAAAATGTTTTTATTTAAAATAGGCATTTTCTCAAAAATATATATATTAATATTATTATATATTAGCATATTGTGCATATTTAGGCGTAGGTTAGGTTGGGTGTTTAGGTTCCGCTGACAATTACTTGTTTTGTAGTACGTGGGTGAAGCATTTATAGAGTTCAATTTGAATAGAAGTCGTCAGCGAAGAAATGTTTGAATTTTATCAGTTGTGAGTCGTGTGTGTAAAGTAATAATTTTTCAGTAATAACAGGTGGTTTGGCGGCTGCATGAAATGAACATTTGGCGTTATTGATGAGGACGGGCTGGGACATTAAAATATAGCGGTGAATCAAACATAGAACATTAGCGAAGCATGTATGCAAAAGTTCGAACATGATCAGTTACTAGTCTAGGTACTCCTTATCAGCAAAGTCCTAATGCTTGTCAATTCAGCCGCTAAACCCCCTCTTCATAAATGAAAAACACTTTACAAACAACTAATAAATCATGTCAATTCAATTTCTTTATTATGCACCCCATACCCATCCCGTGGGCGGTGGTGTAAAGAATTACAGAGGCACATAATCGGTTCAGGAACTGAACCCTCTAGTTCGTTTAGCTAAGCAAATAACAAATCATGTCGAATAAATCATGTCGTTCGAAAATTTATCAAATAGGGCCTGACTGATGACCTCCATTCGAATCATAACCTTAAAATTAGACTATTTTTGGAACCGTAATATGCTTTCAGATCATCATAAATATCTATATAAATACCCAGTTAGCGTGAGAATAGGTTTGGTGTCAGTCACTTTACTCTGAGGACTGGGTCTATAATTTATGAATGCGGCTTTGGGGTTGACTGCCGGGTGGATAAGCCTTACCTGAGAACAGGTTGCATGACTCGTGTGTGAATGTTTTTTTTTCATCCTAAACCAGGGATGTAGGGATGCGGCTGGATTAATTAGCATTTGACCTTTGTTTATGCATCCCATCTTCATTAGCATAGCCAAATGTTCATTCCATGCAACTGCCAAACCCCCTATTTACGAGAGAAAAATGCTTTACATACGCCTCACAGCTGATGACGTTTGAACATTTCTGAAACAGTGTTTTCCTGACGGCCTCTGTTCAAATCTTAACTTTGTAAATGCTTCACCCACATACTACAGATACAAATAATTGCCAACAGAACCTAAACACCTAACCTAACCTACACCTAAATATGTACACTATGCAAATAAAAAATAATATTAATTTATATTTGAGAACATTTTTATTTTGAATAAACAGCACTGATAACTGATTTTATTAATTTACGACACCCGCCGTCATAAAATGGGCGACTGCGTCTTTGGGGTCAGCCACTGGATGACATTGACATATCCTGAAGACGGGTTACATTTATATGTACAGGCTACGGTCGGATTAAGTGATAGCTGAAGCTTTTGGGTGATTATTTTCAAGCTTTTCTCTAATAATCCTAAACTTCTATAATTATACCGTACCTCTCAAAATGCGTTAACCAGAAATTATGATTGCAAACAAAGATCAATGAAACAAAAAATATCTAACCTAACCTAGGCACAAAACAGAAAAATATAATTTTTTACTGGTGGTATCACCCCTTTTATTACCACATGTGATCATAAATAACGTACGAGTCACCGGGGACGGGCGCTGTATGGAAGATTAGTGAGAGCCTTCAGCACAGGTGCTGCGGGTATATGTACCCTGACGAAGTTCTGAAGACCCAGCTGAATAGTTAGGAATTTATGCCCCTGATCCCCCCACCCACTTCAAGGTAGAAGTGAAAAAAATACCATAATTCATCCATATAATTTGACATGTACATCTGAAGCCTGACTGACAAGAATATTGCATATGTATATATTAATTTATTTTCTCAACAAATTATTATTATTATTATTATTGCAAGATTATGCATGTATAATCCTACAAAGGGTTTGGTTAGGTTGAAATGGGATCAATTAGATATTCAGTTAAAGACTGTCCAACTTCAAGGGTCATTTATTGTATAATCTGCAAGGGTCCTTAAATTTAAACAACTTTTATTGTTGAGGAAAGCTGTGTATATATACATTAGGAAATGGGTTCTGCCTTTGCGAATATTTTCGGAGGTTATAGCAAAAGCCAAAAAAGTGGAGTTTAAATTTGTTTATTTTCCTTGCTAACAATTGTAAGACATGATTAACATTAATAAATAATAGTAAACATAAACTGTAAGTTGAACAAAATTTGAATAACAGTGGATACAAAAAGTGAGTCTAGATAATGAATAACTGCTCATTAATAACAACATAACCCGTAAGTTGAACAAACGTTGAATAACAGCGGATACAATAGGCTTGGATAGGCAATAGGATACAAAGGTCTAGGCTTGGAATAATGCAGGGGCGCTCAACTAAGGAAGTTGCTTAGTTGAGCAAGATTTGAAGGATTTGAAGGGTGTGATGCGAGGGTGTGATGCAAGGATGTGACGCGAGGGTGTTATGCAAAGGTGTGATGCAAGGGTGTGATGCGTCAAGTTAATCATCGAGCGTCAACGCTCTATCGAGCGTCGCTCGATAGAGCGTTGACGCTCTATAACGTGGAATTTTACAAGGCAAATTAAAGTTATAAAATATTATATAAATTATGCATGGAAAGTTGATAACAATTAACGTTGACAAAACAATCACACACTGCCAACAACAATCATTTCTGCATAAAGGATGACGTGATCGATTACTAGAATTATATCGGCATCAATCGATTTCAAATTTGCACAATACTTGCAGCATTCAAATCTAACCTAGCTTAATATATGCTGTGGTTTACAGGGTGACTACGGCGACCACTACCGCTTGTTGAGCTACAAGGTCCTGGCCAGCCTGTATCGGATCTACAGCACTGTTTTCACGTTCCATTTGTTGTTTACAGGGTGACTACGGCGACCACTACCGCTTGTTGACCTACAAGGGTCTGGCCAGCCTGTATCGGATCTACAAGCACTGTTTTCACGTTCCATTTGTTGTTTACAGGGTGACTACGGCGACCACTACCGCTTATTGAGCTACAAGGGTCTGGCCAGCCTGTACTGGATCAACAAACACTGTTCTCACGTTCCCTGGACCCTACACTCTGACGACGACACGCACATCGACATCTTCCTCTTCTACAGGGCCCTCCAGGAACTCGACGACGTCAATAGGAAACATTTTATATGTAGTCATATGTACGGACCGGCGCTGAGAAAAGGGCGGTGGAGGGTGAGGTACGAAGAGTACCCAGCCCAGAACTACCCACTTTACTGCTCCGGTGGTGCGTGGTTCTTGCAGACCAGCTTCATCCCACGACTCCTGGAGGCCTCCAAGGTCGTTCCTTTCCTATGGGTGGACGACACCTATATTACCGGCCTACTAGCTAAAGGGGCCGGCATCAAGCAGCTGGGTTTCCAGGATTTTTACGGCTCTGGAGAAGCAGATCGGAAAGTGCTTGGGCATCAGGTGGTTTGGTTTATTAAATATGGCTCTCGTTTGGGCTGGTGGCAAGATATCGTCAATTATCATCGAAACCATTCCATGCATAATCCAGTCACTTTAATTCCTAAGGGAAAAGTTTTACGTTCAACGTGAGGTGAAAAAGATTTAAACGCCTGATCCGATGCCTCTGAAATACTCAAAACCTCAACACGTGCAAAATAAAGACAGAATGATAATAGGAATTCATATCCGCTTGCGTACACTCCTCAACTATAGTACCAGTGACACCAGTGACATGAGTGACACCAGTGGCGCCAGTGACCTCAGTAACATGAGTGCCACAAGTGAAATCAATGGCACCAATGACACCAGTAACATGAGTGTCACAAGTGGCACCAGTGACACCATGGATAACTGCCATAACATAATATCCTTCATGGGGTAGTCCTTGACAGACAACATACTGTAAGACGGTCAAAATTGGACGATTCATAGCCTATCGGGTCCTGTGTGAGAGCTTTATAGTATTTAATAATACCAAATAAATAATTGTAATATGACTCCTAAATTCTAACCTTTACAATTTGAACGTGTCACTGGTTATTTTTGGAATGATAGGAATATTGCGAAGGTGTGATGCAAGAGTATCTCATCCCACAGCTCCAGCCTGAGGGCAATAATATTCCGGGAACATTTACAAAATCTCGTAGATTTGAGGCAAAGTGGGTGGTTTGCCACTGACGGGGTGACGTTTGCTTCGCCATGGGGACGTTTCGCCCTCCATTGCAGAGGACGCTGTCAGCTGGTCTGGCGTTTACGGTGCCGGTGGACCATCCATTGGTTGGTGTCGCCCTAGTGGACGTGCTGCAGGTGCAGCTGTCTGACCTGGTGGGCATCCAGCTGCTTCAGGGCCACCGTGCTGTGGTCAAGTTCCGCCTCCAGGCTGCCTTTCAGGCGTTTCTCGAGCGGTGTGAGGGGCGTGTTTACCCTCTCCCTGATACTGCTGGCTCCGTTAAGGTAGTGAATCTTAGTGTCACCTTGACGTCTGTGACGGTGCATGGTGCCCCCTTCGAATTTCAGGACGACTTTTTAACCTCCTGTTTCGAGCGGTTTGGGACAGTGTTGAGTGTTCGTTGGAACAAGGTCGTTGCCGGGCACTGTGTTGGTATGCTTGACGGCTCCCGCACCCTGACGATGTCGCTGAAGGGTAGTGTACCGTCGTCGATGTCCGTGTTGGGATACACGCTCCGCTGCCAGTACCGGGGTCAACCGCGCACCTGTTATCGGTGTGGTCACGAGGGTCATCTGGCTGCTGCGTGCGACGTGGGAGCGACTGGTCGTGTGCATGTTCTTCGTGCGGAGGATTTTCCGCCCCTGTTGCGTTCGGGCGGTGTGGGTGCTGTGCCTGAGGCGCCTGACTGCCTGTCTGCTGCTCCGCCTGTTGAGAAGAGCTCTACGGCCTGTGCGACACGTCTCGTGCCAGCTGTGGCCCCTGGGGTTGTTCAGCCGGTGTGTGAGGGTGTCGGGCTGTCGCCTGAGCTGTGTGTAGTGCAAGGTGTCCCGGTGGAGGTTCATGTTCCGCCCCCGCCTGTGGATGTGTTACCGGCTCCCGGGGACGCGGGTTCTGCCGTTTTGGAGGGGGTGCTTCGGCGTGGTGAGGTGCCTGCCGTGCCTGAGTGTGTTGCCTCCTGTAGTTCTGCTCTCCCCATTCCTTTGCAGAAGCGTGCGCGTCGGTGTTCTGAGGCTGTTTCCGTGGATGATGTAGACAGTGTGGGTGATGTGGCCTCTGTGGACTCTTCGGACGGTGCGGGTGTGGCCTGTGTGGGTATGACGGTGGAGGCTGTGCCTGCGGCGGGGCCTGCTGGGCGTGGTGTGGTGCGGCCTGTCTCGAAGCGTTCGCGGCGGGCTCGGAGTGTCTTCCCCCTACGTGGTGTGCCTTGGGAGGAGGTGGGGGAGTATGGTGCTCAGCTGGCGTCCCCCGCCGAGGATGATGGTGCTGTGAGGGGCTCCGACGTTGCTCCCTGTGCCCCCCCTCCTGCGTCTCCTGCTGTTGGGTCCCCGCAGTGGGGGGTTGTCCCTGATGGTCGGGACCTCGTCGTGAAGTTGCGGAAAGATGTGCGCCAGGGAGCCTCGGCTCCTGTGCCCTGTGGTGGGGTCGCTGCCGCGCCTGCAGTTCCCCCTCCTTCCTTGCCCCGGTCTGGGGGTTGCCTAGTCCCGTCTGCTGGGGTCGTGCCCTGTGAGGGTCCGGAGTTGGGCCCTTATCGGGATGCCCGGGTGCTTCCGATCCCGTGGTGCTCGTCAACCATCTGGGTGTCGTCTAAGAAGGAGTTTGTTTATAGGGTGCCGGATAGGATGTCTCAGCCGAAGATACAGCCTGATGGCCGGCTGCCCGCCGACCTGTGGGTGGTTTGGGAAGCGTACCGCTTGCGCTTTCCGTACCGTAAGTTTCCGGAGAAATATTAGTTCCCGTCTTGCGCCCACCGCTACGCCGTGCCTGGATCAGCTGCCACCGTGACCATTACGCCCCGCCCCCCGGTGCGGGGAGTCTCCCTCTGACGTTCGCCTCTGTTTTCGTCGCCACTCCTCTCTCCGGCACATCACGTCTACCGCTTTTGACTTTCTTCTCCTCTTTACCATCAACGCGTCTCCTTACGTCTGTCCTGGTGCAGTCATCGGGAGGGTTACCCCTTCATGCAAACTGCACCTATTCTCAAGAAGAAGAAGAGGCAAAGTGAAATTCCCACCAGTTGTTCCATCAATCATTATATTATGCAGGAAGAACCACACGTCTATTGGTCATCCAGTACGGTTAACAGACTTCTAGATGTTACCACTGCTAGGCTTAGGCTCGGCTACAATTACCAATTTTAGCTAATCAAAATAAATAAATAAATAAATAAATAAATATATATATATATATATATATATATATATATATATATTTATTTATATATATATGTAATATTATATATATAATATAATATATAATATATATTAATATAATATATATATAATAATATAATATAATAATATAATATAATATAATATATATAATATATAATATTATATATTTATACATCAATGTTTCCCATTGTTGTGTTTTTCAAGAGATCCATAACCTTTAAGCACCTTTTTGCATTATTATTTTTGTATCAACCCATGTATATCTTGTAACCATCGAATGCATAATAAAGCACAAAAAATAACAAAGGAAGGGGGTGGTAGGAGAAAAGCACACAGAAACTGTATTGGAGGGGATCTAAACATTCCCTCTAATGCGTTATGCGTGGTTTCCTCCGAGGCTATGGGTCCCCCTTCTTCCAGCTAGAGATTTATATATATATATATATATATATATATATATATATATATATATATATATATATATATATATATATATATATATATATATAATATACTGATTATGTGCCTCTGTAACCCTTTCCACCACCGCCCACGGGATGGGTATAAGGGGGTGCATAACGAAGAAAGAAATTGAATTGAATCCTTGGAGGCCTCCGAGGTCGTCCCTTTTCTATGAGTGGACGACGCCCATATCACCGGCCTACTGGCGAAACAGGCCTGCATTAAGCAGCTGGAGTGTCCAGGGGGCAGATTCACGAAAGCACTTACGCAAGTACTTACGAACGTGTCCATCTTTCCTCAATCTTTGACGGCTTTGGTTACATTTATTAAACAGTTTACAAGCGTGAAAACTTGCCAATCAACTGTTGTTATTGTTATAAACAGCCTCCTGGTGCTTCGGAGCTCATTAACTGTTTAATAATTGGAAACAAAGCCGCCAAAGATTGAGAAAAGATGTACAGGTTCGTAAGTGTTTGCGTAAGTGCTTTCGTGAATCTGGCGCCAGGATTACTTGGGTGGTTTGCATGTAGATCCGGACCACCTTGGGCACTAGGTGGTGTGTGTGTGTGTGGCTTGTTAAATTTTGCTCTAAGACTGGTGGAAAGAGATCGTCAACTATCACCGAAATCATTCCATGTATTACGTTACGATAATTTCTAAAAGAACGTTCACGGTTCAGAGCCGAAGAAAACGCTAAACCAGAATAAGTGTAAATAACTTACTGTTTTTGACTACATCTGACAGACTGATTGAGAAGTGGTTCCAGGACTAACACCGCATCCCCATGCAGGGCTACGCCCTCCAGTCCTTCCACACTCCTACACCAGTTGATTGACAGTTGAGAGGCGGGACCAAAGAGCCAGAGCTCAGCCTCCGCAAGATCAACTAGGTGAGTACACTGGAGGAGCCATGCAGATGATGTGCGAAACGACAACCTTATCGCTCGCTGGGTTGGGCGCGACGCCTATCACGCCTACATAAAACAGGACCTCATAACTCTCCCTCCTTGACGCTTCACTCTGGTCTGCCCATCTCCGCCTCCCCTGTCGGGCTGGGAGGGGGTTCCAAGCGAGCTGGCTTAGAGGTAGAGGCTCCCCCGCATCGTCATTCCAGCCATTCTTGCTTGTAACTAGCTCATCAAGATTGTAACTTGCTTAGCTAAATGAATTGTGGGGTTCAGTCCCTGAACCCTTTATGTGCCTCTGTAACCCTTTCCATTGCCGCCCACAAGATGGGTATGGGGTGCATAATAAATGAACTAAACTAAACTTGCAGTCATTGTTCATATTTGTACTGTACTTTTATAACATGTTCCTTATATGTTACACACACCATTATTTGACACTCATTTGGATTTGTAATTAATGTTAATTGCCTTAGTTTACTCACATTACCATTTGCAAAATTGGTGTCTTGTGCTATACATTTAAGCTACTTTGTGCATTATTAAATTTTCATATTATGGTAACGTAAATTCAAATTACATTACGGTGGAGGCCTGGTCGACGACCAGGGACGCTAAGCCCTGAAAACACCTCAAGGTAACCTCAAGGTAACGGTAAGCTTAATTTAGTGTTACCATCAGATCAGGACTGATCTCATTAGAACATTTAAAATACTGAACAATTTGGAGGATATTGATCCAAACCACTTCTTCAAAAGATCAGATATAACATGAACAAGGAGCAACGGCATCAAGCTCAAGAAACTTCAATGTAGGACAAGGAACAGGTGATGCTTTTCCACCCACAGGGTTATAAACCCATGGAACCGCCTACCTGCCGAAGCCGCAAACGCCAAATTCTATTAGGTTTCAAAATCCACTTGGAAAGGATGATCAAGGCAAATGAGGGGGGGGGGCCTTCGACAAGCCGCAGGCTTCCTGTCCTTGTCGAGGCCACTAGCTAGTGACCCTCAGGTAAATTTAGATAAATACAATATCATAATTCATTTCACAAATATATTCGTGATAAGTTTCAGTTAGATTATGTCATAATTATATATTACAATATGTATCAGTTGAAATATGGAAACAGTTTTCTCCACGAAAAAAATGAAGAAATAACCATCATAAATTAGGAAATGTATATGTTTATTTCTCAGAATGTTTGGCAATATGTTTATTGTTTGTGATGTGTGTCTATATATGTATGAACACGTTGTACTAAAGGGGGTGAGAATAGCTTGAGCTACCTCATCCCTTTGTGTGTATTTTACCTCAATAAACTTATTTCAATTTCAATTCAATTTCAATCATAAAATTGCGAAAACATATTTTGAGACACCCTGTATAAACTCGGGGTGCCAGCAGTCACGTGACCAGCCGCACCAAAACAAACGTCGCGGTGCGTCCTCTAGTACATGTATACTCTAAGGTCCAGAGCACCGCAACAAGTGCTGGCGTCCGTACTCAAAAGGGCCTTCACCCCCTCCCCCCCCCCCCAAGGCCACCTTCACTAACTATGGATACTTATTCCACCGCGTGAAACCCCAAACGTGTTGACACTTACAAGTGCAGAGTACAGCCTTGAGTACAGACATCCTGGCGAGTGAAGAGTATTGGAGTGGATGCCGTCCGGCACGTAGTCAACGGTCCTCCCCGGCGGTGAATACTTGACAGGGGTATACTTGACGGGGGTATACTTGAGAGGTATACACCTCCTCCTCTTCCTTCACCTCCTTGCTGTGGGCCGCGTCGCCTCTCCTTGTCAGCTCCTACAAGACGCCGAGTTTGCTGTTAGTGTTATATGTGACTGGAAATCTCGTGGGCACTTTGAAGTTTGTTATCGGCGTGTGTGTGTTTTTGTTTGTGAGTTGACAAAGGTACACACAGAGCTTGACAATTTGTATGATAGTGTTTTGTGTGTTTGGTAAAGCTGTAGGCCTAGGGAAGCTTCAGTGTCAAATTGTTTATTTAGCTAATATTTTACAAGTGGCATTATGCATGATTTTCTTATAAGTTAAGATGTAATGTATTTCAGTAGGCTATCTGGGGATGGAAAACATGTCTATGAAGATTTGGTAAAATGCAGACTGATACAGTATGATGACCTGTTCATTGTTGAAGTATGATGACTCGTGCATTTTGTAAGGATATTGGGACTTAGGAGTAATTTAATTAAGGATTGTTTGAACAATATAAGTACTCTAGTTATATTTTGCACTGGTTGTTCTTTATACATACCCAAATTTTTACTAAATTTGCCTGATGCCAGCATCTTGCTGATGCCAGCTTCATTACCTGTGGATTACCCTTAAATTTACTTTAATGTACCTATTTTTTTCTGCCAAATTTCTTACACAATGTATTTTTATTGTACTTGTAATGTATTTTTGTAACCTTGTGATGTGTTTTTGTACTTTCTTACAATGTATTTTTGTACTTACAATGTACCTGTAAGCATTTTTTTTAATTTTGCTAGAAATTACCTTCTTAAGATTATGTTTTAGATTAAGGATCTGCCTGAAATGATGTGCGTGCTAGTGGCTTTACAAGAATGTAAAACTTCAAGTCTCTGTACTCTCATGAACTTAATGTACCTTCTTGTATATATATAAATAAATAAATAAATAAATCTGTAATGGCCTTGGTAGGGACAATAACTGGTGGCTTGTCAAAGTTCCTCCTCCCCCCATTATTCATGATAATTTTTTCTTGTTGAATTTCTGGGTTCTAATCCAGAATCTGTCTGGGGCTCTCCGTTTGCCCCTCCCAGAGAGAAGGGGAGGGGGGGGGTGCACAGACAGTGGCGCGTCAACGTGATGACATTATGCTCGTTTGCTAATTTTTGTTGGGGAGTTCTGTCCACTCGTTCGGCTTTTCTTAGCAATACTGTATTTTCACCAGAATACGAGTTTGTTTTGGGGCACCTATCTTTCTGGGTGCCAGACCCGGTCGATGGCAGACATAGCATTCTCTCAACCACACAGGGGTTTCTATAAGCCATTTCTCCTCGTGCCTCTGTGAGGGGGCTAGGTTCTGGCTCGTGGTTCCCGGTAGGCAAGAACTCCATTCGCCTTGACTGATGCCAGAAAGCTAATAGTTACATATGAACCTGGATAGCTGTGGGGAGCCTCCGGGACTCGCCCAGAAAATGACGTTTTATTCAACGCTGGTTTGTTTGGTTCTGAACATAAAAGGTATAATGAAAGGGGATTCCCCTTCTAAACGCTAACACCTCTCCTCCTCCTTTCCCTTCTTGTTGGTATCTTCCATATGCTAACAAGAGTCCTCAATAAAGGTAAAATATACTTGTACATACTGTAGTACAAAACATAAGTAGTAGTATGTATAAAATGTATTTTTAAGTTAATATTTTTGGGGGTGTGGAATGGATTATTTCAATTTACTGTACATTATTTCTTATGGCAAAATTCATTTCGGTTTTCAAATTTTCGGTTTTCGAGCTGTCTCTGGGAGCGGATTAAATTTGAAAACGAAGGTACCATTGTATTTAAATAAAAATACTGTATTGCCAATCATACTGTTTAGAGATTTACAGAAGATTGCACAGAATAAAATTAGGGAAAGGATATTTGCTTTAGGCCAACCTTAGAATGTCTAATATTATATTAACTAAAAGGATTTTGACTTTCCAGAGATGTACAATGACAGTAACAGTGACAGCAGAGCATGTGTATCATGAGCCAGTCGAGGTTGTTGTGGCTACGCATCTTACCAAATTTCCGAATGAATATGACCCAAATATAATTTCCTGCTCCATCATAGAACGAAAGAGAGATAAAGATGGGCGACATTACACGAAGAGAGTTGCTGCTGTCCGAAATGTTTTACCATCAATATTAAGAAGGGTGGGTCCACTTAGGATTGTACTGTGCTCTCCTTGGCATGAGCTTTAGTCCTTTGCAATGACGCAATGCACTAGATCTTCTCTAGTATTTAGTGTGGTTTTAGAACCATACATCTGTCTGAAAACAAGAGTAAACAATTTAGGTCAAATATAACACAAATTTGAGAATAAAAAAAGTTTCATCAAATTTTTGTAAGAAGTAAGCCCAGAATCATTTAAACCAAAAGATTTAATAGTTATTCTAACTATATCACATTAGGTACATTTGATGTTTCAAGGGTTCCTGGCACTTTTGGTTTTATTTTATACTCTGTTGCAAGCACTTGTCAGATACCAACTGCAGGTTTGATACTGGAGACTGCCCGATCACAAAGATGGTGACTCGAATACCTGCTTTGGGTATCTTCGTATGGCGCCAGAGAGGAGAAGAATGTGCTCCATTGCAACACTGTTTTGTTTATTTTATCTACCATTCAGTATCATTATTATATAGCACTATACAATCACTGAATGCCTGAATTACATGATTAATGCTGTCAAATGATGTTAAGAGCTTTGTAATAGCACATTACCTCTTGCCTGCATTACTCTGCCATAAAATAACCATGTTTGTGTTTTGAATACAGTAATTGTTTGATTTATAACCTTATACAGTAATTATAACTGACTTATAAGTAACTTGTCACTTAATGCCCTTTTGGAACTCATATTGGCCAGGTAAAACATACTCTATCATTGAATGCTTTTTCTTTGAGGGAAAGCCAAACATTTCCATCGTGGTAAAACACACTTCATGTTTAAAACGAGTGGCTCATAAACACATTAAAAGTCACTTCACTTGCAATATTTTGGCTGCTCTCACCATGCTTGTGAGATGGGGGAAAGTAAACACAATGATGCAGTCACTCCTGATCATATAAATAATGTATTGATCATATGCATCCTCTTTATAGTTATGCTCAGTCTCACTATTTTATGTTGAAAAGCTTATAATGAAATCTATTTTCAGGTGGAAACCTTACAAGTAGATAATTTTGAACTGGAAGAGGAATGCTGGTGGGACAGAAGACTGAGGAAATTTAATGTTGAAACGCATAACCTTTCTGTCTCTCACTGGATCACTATGAGAGAAGCATCTGTCTTTACACCTCATCAACAGAACCCAAATTGGTAAGAACATTATAGGATTAGGATAAATCTCATTCTCATTTAAAAATAAACACAAATTGTTACATAAAATAAATGTACATTGTGATATTTTAACGTGTATAATTCCCCTTTATGTTGGAATTCTGCATTAATTCTGCATTCTACATACTCTATGAGATTGAGCGCCCTGAGTATTATATATGTTGTGAAGGGTCAGTCTTTGGGGAAATTTAAGTATTTAATGATTGGTGAACATTGCCACTTTAATATATCAGCTAGTTAATTTTTCTGTTTATTATTTGTTTTTTTTAGCTTGCCTCTTTGAAGTAGAGAGAGATATGCTTCTGCATCCTGCATCACTTCCCCACAGTTTTCACCAGAGGTCTGTGGCTAGGTAAATTACCTTGGCATTGATAGCAAATCATCCAATTAAAACCCTTATAAGTTGTTTTCTCAAACTCCATCTCATACCTCACTTACAATCAATTGAAATACTATGATTGGAAACTGCTGTGATGAGAAATTTTACTGTACAGTATTGATTGGGAATTGTTTAAAATACTATATCATAGTACATATTATAGAATATTTATATTATTAATCTAAAATGATTAATAATATAAATGAAGGAAATGAATAGAGGAAAATGAATTAAGAAAGGTGAACAAGGCTGGGAAGTGAGGCATTTCTTACAGTAATTGCAATTGATTAATTCATTATGTTTACAATTTTATGTGTTGTAGTGGTCCCATTTGTGTGCCTGGTTGGATGCTCCAGATTTGCTCGACTTGGTGTTTAGGGACTCAAATTTGGAGGTGTTAGTTAAAGCAACTGTGGTTCCATCCTCACCTCTTTTTTTCCTGGCAGCCATGGTTCACCCTTCTCCTTCTTCCTGTTTCTGGCCTCAAAGACTCTGAGGGTTTCAGACTCGGGGCAGGGTTTAGCTCGGGATGTGGCTTGGGTGGATCTTCCCTTCCGACTGAGCATGGAGGCAGTCTTGAGCCTACTGTTCCTGTCGAGACGTCAAGTGTCTTTCCACCTGAAGCCACTTCTTCTTTGTCTGGTCAGTGCCATGTTCGCTCTGTTTGGAAGGCTGGCTCATGAGGCTCGCACTGCAGGTAGCCCCTTTGACAGGGAGATTGAGTGCAGTGTTGGTGGAGCTGCTCCAGCTTACATTTGTGGTTGATACCTCTTCAGCCCCATTTCGCCAACTTTCTTGTGCATTGTTTCATGCACTGCCTGAGCCTGCCTTGTCCATTGAATGGGTTGTTTCATTTCTTTTCTTTTGTTTGCTCGGTTCACAATGGCCAAGGATAAATAAAGATTTCATAAAGCAGTATTTTGGCTTTCTATGGCTTCCAGTTGTTGGGTGCGGGAGGTTCATACTCTACTCCGACTCTGGGGGTTCTTATTCTTTTGGCCCTGGTGGGCGCTTCGTTCGTTTGCAGCCAGCTCCTTTTCTGGTGAAAAATGAGGGAAGATTACAAGACCTGAAGGAAAGGAAACTATCAGGAGACAGTGCCAAGCCATTACAATTGTATAGCCCTTGGAAGGGGTCAGGATAAGGATTTGGGATGGGACGGGGAAAGGAATGGTGCCCAACCACTTTGACAGTCGGGGATTGAACGCCGACCTGCATGATACGAGACCGATGGTGGAATGAGGAGTATTAATAAACTGGCCAGCTAGAGAGATGTAATGGAAGTACAATACAAAATCTCTATTCAAAATAAAGAGAATGTAGCAGATGGCTGAAGATTAGAGTGCATACTTAGATGGTTTAAGTGTGTGTGTGGACCATTTAAGAGAATGCTGCAGTATGAGTGGAATGAGCAAGAGTGAGATAATATAGAAGTCGAGAATGTATTAACTAATATGATGGCTTTAAGGATATACAGCACCTGCCACCCTGTTGGTTTGTGGAAATTAGTGTATTGAATATACACTTCTGTGTATATTTTGATTTGTTCATCTTAAAAATGGCAGTATTATTAATTCATTGCTCGACAATGAATTGTAGTTCTTTTGAATTCATTTGAAAAATTGAATATAACCTTTATATATCAAAGATCTATCAAAGTATTATGTTTGCCCCATAATCTTTTGAGTGGATAATTATATAAATAAAGCTGCACAACCTTGGAAATATTTCATTAATTTACTTTTTTCAGGACACAGTTTGAGCAAGAAGGAACAATCACTGTACACGGACTTGGGAAATTTGGATGCCTAATTGAGATGTTCAGCAAAAGGTAATGCACTGTTGAGTGCCATTAAAACATATTCTTGCTAATGCGTTGCTACATTTTATCAATTATTTGTCCAAATAAAGTGTTTAATCTTTCCAAATATCTGTTAGTGATATTCATTGTTTGCTGTAACCTGTGTGTCATGTGATTTTATTCCAAGGCATTTCATAGTTCCATCCCAAGGCATCATTTAGTTCTATCCTTAGGGATTGTTTAGTTTGATTTAAAGTCATCATATAGTTCTATGTATTCATTTACTTCTAGCTTAAGGTTTCATTTTGTTTCTGCCTAAGGCTTCCTTTAGTTATATTACCAGTAATTTATACTAATAGACTATTATTTTGTTTATTATAAAGTCATTTAGTTCCATATATCCACTGTATCTGTCTGTCTTCATGTCTTTGTCTTTAAATTTCACTAATTCTCATTTATGTGGAGTGGAATAGACACAAAAGTATCTATAATGGAAAATAGTTATGCAAACAGCATGAGAATAACAAATGTTAAACTCACTTTCAGTTCAGTGCAGATGTCTTTCACAAGTTTTGTGTGCTGGTTCTAATTACTCTGCTCCTAAGAACTAAAGAGTAGAGTAAACTGCAGTATTATCCCAAAGTGAAGCAGCTCCTATTTCAATCCAACCATATCTACTCATGTATGCATGTAATGTATGTCTCACATATACAGTATTTACCTGAATTTTACTTGAGGGCCACTATCACACTAGTGGCCTCGATGAAGGCAGCAAGCCGGCAGCTTGTCAAAGGTCCCCCAATATGTCCTGATGATTTTTTCAAGGTGGATTTTAAAATTCAGCAGTGTTTTGGCATTTAAATATGCCAGAGATACCACTTCTATTATGTTGCCGTGTACAGTAAATTGTTTCGTATATCTGTCAGTCCATCCTCCTGTAAAGCCAGCACATACAACGTTACTGGACATTGTTCTGTGTGTATAACATATTAAATAATAAAAGTTGACAATTTGCCCTCCTGGTAAATTTAGTAACTTCCTTATGGGAAGAATGTCCGAAAATGAGGTACTTTTCATTTTTACAGTATAATGCACAGAGGCAAACAATTCATTATGGTGTATTATTATATTTATTAGATGGAAGGTGGGACAGATATTGCACTACTTTTGTAACCATTGTGTGAGGGGTCTTGATAAGTTTGGCTATCACAACTGCACTGGTTATGAAGGTAATCTTTGGCAAGAAATATTTTGCATTTGGTCATGGTGCAGTTGAGATTTAGTCATCAGTGATTGGCAGCCTCTGTCAACTCCTTGCTTGATGAAGGCTTCTAGTGGCCATTTAGTGCCTATAAACTTATTTAACTTGTCCATCTGGTAAAGAATGACTTCTAAACTTGCTGCCTTTATGCAGGATATCCTTGATTAACTCTTTGTCTTATTTTATTTGGACTAATTGATGGCAAAGTTCCTAGTCTTCTTGAATAAGGTCCTCATGCTTCAAAGTGAGGTACATGATTCGATAAGTTTCTTGGTCAAATACTGTATATGTTAACACTTCTCTGAATTGCTTATTACAAATTTAATTATACATTTTTGCGAGGAAAATCTCTACTGCGTATAACAAATTACTTGTCTTTTACAGATTTTTGAGTGCAGGTGCCCAGCATGGCATTACTATTACTGAAAAACTCATGGCTGAAAAATCAAAGAGACTTACATCATTATGGTATTCAGAATTTCTATTTGCATAATGGGAACTGGTAAGTGTAATAATAAAATATAATTAGGGAGGACCAAGGTTAGGCTGTCCTATGTCACTCACCCCAAATATCTCATTTACTGTTTCTGGGGGAGCCCCCGAGTGACTTCGTGAGACATAATCTAGGATGTTCTCACCATTTATCCATAAACTGCATGACGCAATCAGTGATTTTTTTTAAAGTACTTTACCACGTAAGATTTAAAATTCCCACAGGTTCATATGGCTCACATCTGCTCCCTCAAGTAAACAGATGCCATTTTAGAAAAAAATGTTGGCACCCTACCTGGGTGTGAAGAGGCTCAGTACTAAGACAGCATACATCAGTAATGCATATGGCAGCAACTCATAGCAGCATCATACAGCTTGTACCCACGAACATGTGAAAAGGATTCATATTCATGATTTAGTGACCAGAATTCTGATAACAATAGCAGTGGTTTGATTAGAGTTAAAGATGTACATAATATATCGTGCAGCACTATGCTTTGTCAGCAAGTTGTAAGTGCACACATTGCATATGTATATGTTTTTTTAATTTTTTAAATACTCCATTGCTCCCTGCACCACTGTGAGGGGACCAGATTCTGGCTTGTGGTCCCCAGTAGGCAAAAAGAGCTCTGCATAGATAGTATGGCACTTAATCAGTGATTGATAGCTTCAGGTAACCTCCAGGGCTCGCCCAGAAACTTGGCGTTTCACTACATTTAACACTTTTTTTTTTTCACCTCCGTCCGGCTTATGCTTCTCCCGAGTGGTAAATTGCGTTGTTCAATCAATGAATTCATCTTTGGTCTTACATCTTCATTAAAGAATTAGAACCTTGTACTGTACTGTTTATTATATTTGGTTCTTTTCCTTTTTCTCTCACAGGAAGCGATTGTTGGTTCTCTTCTGGTTCTGGTAATTCCTGGTTGTTTCTGACATTAAATAATTGGCCGCCAAGCAACCTTCCCCATGAGTCACTAATGTGTGACTGAGTTACGTGGACTAAATAAGATATATTTTATATATGTAACTTAATTTAAGGTGTTTTGACTTCATTTGAAGCTAGTTACTCTTGGGATATTTGTACTGAGAGAATTGAGAAATTTTAAAAAGTGACCAATTTATTCTTTTGTTTTTATTGCTCAGTATATTTTCTTTATATTTTTTTAGTTTTCACAATTTTTCAGACAAAGAACAAAGTATGAGTGTTTTGAATGTTCTAGCTTGAATTTTTATTTAGAATATCAGGTATTTTGATGGTGTTGACAAATATTTAGTTTCAGGTGGTGGTATGCACTTCATCCATAACGCAAATACTCCAGTAGTGTTAGTGTGGATATTGTTCTTGAAGTATTTTGTAAATATACATACTAAATATTGGAAACGAGATGGCGTTGTATTGTACTTTATTACCATGCATCGAACAAAATTTCATAGTACTGCACCTGTATTATAATTTTTTTTTAATTATAATTTTGTCTTCTCGAGCATTCTTTCTGAAACCATATTTTGACTTGTACCATATAGTGGTAAACCTCAAGATGTTCCTTGTGGGTGGGCATGCTTGTACAGTATCCACTCGATTTAACGAGCTATATGGGGCTGTACCCAGGTTGTTAAATCTGGGACTCCACTAAATCTGGAGGTTTTAAAATGTTGGTAACTGTTTAATCATATTTGAGAGAGTAACAGGATGGATGGTTGGTGGGCTGGATGGCTGGCTGGTTAACTGGCTGGTAGGTGGGTGGATCAGCAGGCAAGTGGGCTGGTCTGGCAGACAGGCAGGCAGGAGTGGGAGTGGGCAGGTGGACTGGCTGGCTAGTGGGTGGGTGGATGGATTAGTGGCTGACTGGTGTGTAGGGTGGATGGATGGTTTGGTGGCTGACTGGTGGGCAGGCTTAGGGTGGGTTCGGGCAGACAGTGCAGGCTTGAGTGGGTAGGTTTGGGCGGATGTGCTTTTTGACTGGCAGGGTGGCAGGTAGACTATCACAGACTGGCTGTAGTCATGCCTAATCCATTCCCACAGCTCCCCCCATTCCCCCACACTGGACCCCACCCAGAAATATACCCCCACCCCTCCAGCTGCATCTAAACGGTCGGTACAGGATTATTGTGGTACAATTCAAATTCTCGGCTTCCTTCCTACCAGCTGTGGCCTTGGAGGCAGACAGTCCTGCCCGATTTTAATTTATATAAAAAAAGTATATTGGGTTTGTTAAAGTATGTAATGTTGGTGTTCTGTAAACAACATCAGACTCATATTGTTTACAAACTGTGGCTGGTTTCTACCACAGTTGTGAATGCCTAACTTCCTTTGACTGAATGTAACTTGACCATTGTTGCCTCTGGTTGCAACTGTGACTAGCTCTGACTAGATGCTTCATAAGAGAAGCAGTGAAATCTGTGAAGGAAAAATGTAACTGCTGGCCTAGCAATGGTAAGGTTGTCAGAACAAACATAATAGTGACCTCCAGTTTAACACATACCAGACTGTAAACTCAATACCGTATTCCGGATTTAATGGTCAATGACTCGGTAAATAAGGCACCAGTAAACTATCTAAAATTCAGTCATTAGACCCGAAGGAACGGTAAATAAGATGCCCTTAAATCTAGTGGATACTCTATAGCATATTATGATACCAGTAGTGAGTGCTCATTGTTTGGTAATGTGAAACTTGAGAAGAAAGATTATAAATTTGTATACGTAACGTTATTATGAATGTTGATTATAGTGATATGTTGTATAATTAAAGTTAATTTATGCAATTTTACCTCCATTTTATATTGTAAAAGACTTAGCTTCAAAGAAGCTTGATGTTGTATAAAAACATAAGAAAATATTCTGTGATAAATGTGTGTGTTTCATTTCTGCTAATTCACAGTATTCCGTAGAATAAACAATTATTATGGGGAGACACCGGTTATTCTATGTTGAAGTTGTCTTTCTGTGATTATTGGCTTCCAGACTCTCTTGAAGTTGGATATTTTGTATTTCAACATTAGTGATATATCAAGCTATATGAATGATATAAGCATGTAAGTTACAGTATAGGTAAGATAACATACTTCGTTATTCTATGGGAGTCTTGTATTTATAATAATAACTATAAAGTATTGATTTCTTTTTTATTTCTCCAATTTGAAGAAAATACTTCTTTCTTGTATTTATGTGCATATATTTGAGTTCACACATCCATATTCAAGATGGAACTGCAAATGTGTTTTGTACACACTGTAAGATACTGTACAGTAATTAAGTAACAATATGAGTTTCATAACCAAACTCTGCTTTTAAAGGGCACTACATTTATTTGGTTCTGCATTTTAAGATTCAGCAGAGCTTTCAGCATGTTTGGTAGGTACCATGATACAAGTATGTAATGGAGAAAGCTTGTAAAACATGAATTTTGGGATAATGACACAGTTCAAATGTTTGTATTGGGCCCCTAGATATTCTTAGCTCTGCTCTATCCACACTAAACCTATGTAAATAAAATTCACCTGCACACATCGAAGCTTGGCATAAAAAATGATAATCCACATGTCACCAAATTCATGTTCTAAAACTATGCGGTGTTTTTGCTGCTTATAACTTGAAAGGAAGAAATATAACAAATAAATCTACAATAAGTAATGCTTACAACATGGTCAGTTGATCATTGTTCCATAATGAAATTACATACAGCTGTAGTTCTTATGAAAAAGGATTATGTATGTTAGGTCTAGTTGGCAGCCCTAGAAACCCACTTCCAAAATTTAATACATTGTATTGTATTTTTGCTAGATATTGGCAGATTTAAAACAGATGTCACAATAACCATACAATTTTTCATAGCACCCTCATCATGAATGGCGCATTAACCCCTTCATTGTGAACCTGTTATGTGTAACAACCCCGTGGTGGGCAAGAAAAAAATTAATTGTAAATTTGCTGTCTAATATTTTGAAAATGGGTTATCATGAGAAAGCAAAAATCAATTCAATGTTGCATTTACTTCAGCTATAGTGAAGCAAAGAAATGTCACGATGACATTGCCAATTCATGAATGTTCCTGCAGCCATCGCCCCAGGCAGATTGTGCCGCCTATTCAAGCGTTGAGAGTTTACGAAACAAACATCTTTTTTTTACTGAAGATCTTATGTTCAGGTAAGAACCTAGTTAGCAATGACAGGTATAATAGTTGTCTGTATATAGGCTGTGACTCTTGTTCAGAAGTAGAGCTATCAGCGTCTTAATTACACTGCCCAAAAATTCCCGAGAATTGTTACTGGTAATGTCTACCTTACCTTGAGGTTACCTTGAGGTGCTTCCGAGGCTTAGCGTCCCCGCGGCCCGGTCGTCGACCAGGCCTCCTGGTTGCCGGACTGATCAACTGTGTCTATGTGTGTGCCAGAATAAAGTATCATGTCTATCACCATTCCTGTTTCACAATCATACAGAACAAAAAGTTCAAATCTATGGCATTTGGAGGGGAACATACTGCTTGAAAACAAGACATCTCTTGAAAAGTACAAGTGACAGTCACTGGCTTTTGATCTGGTATGTAGAATTCTTTGCACTTTCCATTCAGGTCATTGAACACGTATGTTACCGTCCACAGTCTATCATTTGCAATCTCGTTATCACTTCTTAAAATGAAGAAACCTGAAAATTGGAAGGTATCTGTTGCACAATGAATCGCACAAAAATTGGTGTTAGAATAAGCTGTCTTCATTCCAATAACATATCCAATAACTTGATTCCAATAACCAATTTCACCATTCATAATGCATGCCATGCATTATGTATAATGAAACATTTGTGTTTCACTGTTTCATCATACATAATGCTAGAAAACATACAGTTCTGTTACATTTGTGTATTTCCCATTCTTCAAATGTCAATAACGGGATATGTCCTCATTTTCAATGAGGTTCTTCGCGTATCTATCCATTTCCTGAATGATATGTTTCACTAGGAGCTCAGCAAAATATGCTGTAAAATAATCACTCGCATGTACATTTACTAGTACAGTATAAGGAAAAATTCTCTTAACACCTGCATTTGTATCATCAAATGTTGGTATTTGTGGAACAAGTATAGGTCTGTGCTGCTTGATGCACCACCACCATGGGCATGAATCTGATCCCCAACATAATTATGTTGACTTGGAGATGAAGTTCTATTAATATGCACAGGTTGGGCATATATAGTTGAACTTGAAGGCAATCTCTCAATTTCCCCATGTGACATCACATGACATCATTTGACGGGGTGAGGTGCTAGCTCAGCAGACATCCGCCTAACAACACCACCACTAGCCACAGCACAGCTACTAGTATTGGTATCCTGGTCACTAAATCTAAAGAATGAGTCATCATTGTGTTCATGGGGAAGAGGAACAGCAGTTGGCACAGCTGCTGTAATGGGACGCTGTAGCTGTTGTGGCGTCGACCGGGGCCATAATGGCGGTGGGCAACCCGTCCTCAGACCAAGGTCATTCCACCCAACGGTCGACCCCAAAGACGCATTCATCAATTTAAAAATGCTGTTCATTCAAAATAGTTTTTTTCTGAAATATAAATTAATATTGTTGTATATTAGCATATTGTGCATATTTAGGCATTGGTTAGGTTAGGTGTTTAGGTTCTGTTGGCGATTATTTGTAGTACGTGGGTACTAACCATTTACAGTATTGTGGTTCGAACAAAAGTCGTCAATGAAGCACTTTTTCCGGAAGTGTTTGGACATCATCAGTTGTGAATCGCGTGTAAACTATTTTTCATTCATAAACGGGGTTTGGAGGGTGCATGGAATGGACTTTGGCCTTTGCTTATGACGTCAGGCTTCGATGGGGGTAAGCTTCACCTTCGAGACACTCAATGGTTCATCACTTTCACCCTCACTTGAGCCCATTCTCAGGGTAAAGTGATTAAAACGAGACACCAAACCTTGCTCCTCTCAGACTACCTGGATAGTTATCTAGACATTTGTGATAGTCTGAAAGCATTACTGTTCCATAATAGTCTACTTATAAACTGGCACTTGAACCTTTGTCCTAAACAGAGAACATTCTGAAGTTATAGCTTCATTGCATTATATTTTTTTTGTATAAAATGTAAGAAGTCTATATTTAACTTGTTTTCTTTGAAATAGTCTGAAGAATTAGGTTTTCTGTAAATATATTCTAGGGGTTACGTAAATTAGTTTTTGAATTTCATATTTGAGAATAATAGCCGTATTTACATATCCAAACGTAATTAAACCTAACCTAAATATAAATTAGGGAGTAATTATATATTAACAGCACTTATTATGAAATTGTTTTGAAGTGACTACCTCCAGGGTACCTCCTTGAGGTCAGGTTGCTCACTTATATCTGATTTTTGGATCGTCGTCGCCCCTAAATCGATTGATTGATGAAGATTAAACCACCCAAAAGGTGGCGCGGGCATGAATAGCCCGTAAGTGGTGGCCCTTTTGAGCCATTACCAGTATCAAGAGCTGATACTGGAGATCTGTGGAGGTGCGACTGCACCCTGCGTGACGGGAGATGTCTCCTGTGGCCCCTAAATCAACAACAACAACATATCTGATTTTTGTGTATTGTCTTTATCACTAGCAGGAGCCTCTACATTACTATCAGGATTACCAATGTCACATTCTAGCAGATTCTTGAGAATTTCCCCCTCTGAGAATGATGGTGTGACACAAGCCACATGCCGGGGCTGTGAGCCAGAGGTGTGGGCATTGCTCATGGTTGCTATATACACTCTGAGGCCTACTCGAGAGCATGCAGAAGCCCGTGATTTTTTCACGATGGCAGTTGTTTTCTGGAGGCCTGAGACATTGCATGGGTGCACCGGTCACCACACAGGAACTTTAAATCTTAAACTAGATCTAAAAGCGACCGTGGTCGCTGTGAGCAGTTGAAGGGTTAACATGACAAGGGGTAAGTCTTATGTCTCTTATACAGACATAAGACACTTGTATAGACATAATTAACTTGTATAGACATAATACACTCGTACAGACATAAGACAACTGTGCAGACATAAGAGCCTTGTACAGACATAGGGGTCCCGGTAGTACAGTCAGGTTCACTCGACGCACAATCGAGAATTCTGGGTTCGAATCCCGGGTGGGACAAAAATGGTTGGTCACATTTCCTTTCATGTAATGCATCTGTTCACCTAGCAGTAAGTACTCAGGAGGTAGTCAGCTTGTTGTGGGGGGGGGGGGGGGTTGCATCCTGGGGAAAGTCAGTAAGTCGATCTTGGGGAGAGAAGGACCTTGAAGGAACGAGTATAATTAATAATTCATTGTGTCGGGGGGGACAGGAAGCCAGAGTGTATTCATACACGTTTGGGCTTTTATCGAGGTCTTCCCCCCCCCCTTCCCAAGGGTGAATCACTGACCCCGTCCAGGATGTATAAGAGTGTATGAATACACTCTGGCTTCCTGCTCCCCGACACAATGAATAATATAATTATAAATTACACATAAGACACTTTTACAGACTCAAGACAGTTGTACAGACTTAAGACACTTGTATACAGACTTAAGACACTTGTACAGACTCAAGACACTTGTACAGACTTAAGACACTTGTATACAGACTTAAGACACTTTTATAGACTCTAGACACTTTTACAGACTCAAGACAGTTGTACAGACTTAAGACACTTGTACAGACTTAAGACACTTGTACAGACTCAAGGCACTTGTACAGACTCAAGACACTTGTACAGACTTAAGACACTTGTACAGACTCAAGACACTTGCACAGACTTAAGACACTTGTACAGACTCAAGACACTTGTACAGACATAAGACGCCTGTGTTGACATTTGAAGACTAAACAAACAAAGTTCTGTCAACAGGTGCTATTCCCCGCTGCTTCAGCACGTCAATACCGACTTAAAATTCGCGAGTTGAAAAGAAAAAGCATATTCCTTAACCTTGAGCTGAGCCCTTGAGCTCAGGATACGAGATATGTAATTATATTTTTTTAGGGGTTAGGATTATTCCTTAGGTGAGGTATAGTGGAACCGGTTAGGTTATCCAGCTCCGGGAGAATATTTATTACAGTACGCCAGCGGCAAACTGGGAGAGTCTACACAGCACCGCTCCTGT